CAAAGCTTGAGTAAAGCGAGCGGTTTATCAAAAAAGAAAGCAGAACAATTTTCACAACCCGAGACATCTTAAACTAAATTTGGTTCACCATTGAGACGTTTCCAAAATCTTCAAGCTTTTTCAAAATAAATTAATCATTTTTGGTGTATGAACTTGTCTTTTGTAGACAAAATCGCTAGTCAAAATAATGGAGTTTATTAGTTGCTGTAGGCTTTTTCTCGAGATTTTTCAGAATTCAAAGAATGAAAACGAAGTATGCCAAAGACACTTTTCAAGCTTTCAAATAACTGATTTCTCAAAAAAAAAACACTCCTGAAAAGCTTTTGGTTGATAAAAGAACAGAGAATAGGAGAACTTCTCAAAAATTTTGCAGAGAAAGACATCGAAGTTTACTCAAAAATGAGTGAAACAAACGCAGCATTTGTAATGCGAGCAATTCAGCTTTTAAAACATATAAGAAATCGTTATTTTGAAGATCATGGTAAAAAATTTGTTCCCAAACTACAGCAACTTGTTTTACCAGTAAACTGTCGCAAAAAATGCGCTTCCCTGAGAGATGCAAAAACATGATAAATTTTAATACATTTTGTAATACAAATCGATCATGAATTATACTAAACTAAAACTCAAAATTAGGAAAAGAATGAGACCTTTGAAAAATGATATTCCGTTACAAAAAAAATACAAGCCTTAAATTATCGATGAAGCATTTAAAATATCATTTATATCAACAAAGAAACCGAAAACATATATCATCAAAGACCTCAAAAAAAAGAAATTCATGGTAAGTTTTATGAAAAATTGCTGAGAAAATGTGTAGAATAAAGATAAATTATTTTTTAAATTACATTTCTATTGATCAGTAGTGGTTGATTCTTTATGCCTCGAGCTAGTTTCTAATGCTTCTTTTAATTGTTATCCGAATGATAGTCTTAGTTCTCTTACGAGGTTTCTACCGTAACAAATACATCCTAAATGAGAGTGGGAGGTTCTTATTTCAGAAATTTAATAATCTTTGTTGTACCAAAACGCTAGTGAAGGTAACTTTGCTTTAATAGATGGGAGAGAAAATTCTGAGGAAAAACAAACGAAGATTGAAATGATGCATATTGAGCCTGGATTGTAATCAAGTATTGTTGATATAGTTGTAGCCATGAATGACAAAGTTCGAAAAAGTTTTTGTGCACAAAATTATGAAAATAACGGAATTCTTGTATCAGTAGATAAGATTACCCAAAAAGTAGCCATTCTTTTACCTGATGATCAATCAGTGCTTATCATTCAAAGTGCTGATTTGAGTCATATTTTGGTTGTGGTTTAGAGCAAAATCAAACAGGGGTTATAATGAGTGGAAAAATACCACATTATCCTCAGTATTCTTACGACATTAGAAGAGTAAAATATTGATTATATAGAGTGATATTATAGAATATATTATAGTAGCTGATAAAAAAACTTTTTCTAAAAAAACTTTTTCTAAAAAAAGTTTTCTAAAAAAACTCTTTGCATAGCATAAAATTGGATTGATAGATTCTACAGGTAAAAACAATTCCTTTTGTGTCCGTAGAAATTAGACTAATTGTTCTCTTGTTCCGCAAGATTTCGGATAATCTTTTTTGATTTATGTTTCATACGAAATGGTTGCTTAAAAATCTGCTATTTTTTCCTTTGCCAACTCCGTTTCTAACTACTGTTAGTTCTCCACTTTTTGATATTTCCTTGCTTCACCAAACGCTTGGCCTATCAACTCTGCATCTTTAAGAGAAAGCAGTCCAATTTTATCCTTCAGGGTGAATATAGTGAATTTTCTCCAATTTTTTTTAGCATACATTTAATTAAGAAGATGCCAAATACGTTTATAATTGTCTTTAAAATCGCACTTTACGCCATTTTTTGTTTTGCTTCAACGCTCGGGCTCTCTTCCCTACTTTTAAAAGTAAAACCAGTCCAATTCTCTAAAAACTTTCATTTTCAATTTTTATCTGTTGGTGGGCTAAATCCAAGTTTCTTTAATTTTCTGAGCACAAAATTTGATGGAAGGATGTGAAATGCGTTTGGTAAGTTCTTACTTGAGATATTGCTTGGGCTATCAGCCCTGCATTTTTGAAACAAATTAGTCCAATTTGCGAGAAAAAATAAATATTTTTGTTTTTTTTTGTACAAAGGAGGGGAATTTTTCCAATTTTTGCCATTATTTTGAGCCTAAATTTTCTTAAAAATGCCAAATGGGCTTACAACTATCGTTAAACTCTCTTTTTTGCCATTTTCTGTGTTTATCAAAACGAATGCAGTTATAGAAGCACTTGGACTATCAGCCGTGCATATTAAAAGATAAGCAGTCCATTTTAGAAGAAATTTTTTTACTCTTTTTGCCAGTTTTTGTCACTAACTTAATTGAAAGGATGCTAAGTGCGTTTATAGTTGTCTTTAAACCCTTTTTGCCTTACTTTTGCTTGGCTTACGTTCGTACTATCAAGCCTGCATTTTCAAGTAAGTGCAGTTCAATTATGTAGGAAAAATGTCATGTTTTTTTAGTACGAAAGGGTGTATATGAGTATTCTGAGCATAAACTTTGTGATGCTAACTACTTATTTAATTTGCAGGATGCCAACTGCTTTTAATTTGCACTTTTTGGCATTTTTTGCTTCATTAAATATTCGGGCTGTCAGCCCTCTTTTTTCAAGTAAAATCTGGATTAGTTTTAAGATTAGTTATTTGGATTAATTTTAAGGGGTATATCCGTATATCAATATTTACCAAGTTTTTCAGCAGAAACTTTTTTAGGAATGCCAACTACGTTTTGGTTGTTGTTAGCGGGTTTTAAAGAAGAAAAAAGATCATAAAAACGTTCTTTGATTGAGTCAATTTTCAATGTTCAACAGCGGTTTTCTCCATGAAACAAGCCTTTTTAATTTTAGCTAGTTTTATGAGTTTTATTTATAAAGTTAAAGACAAAAACCTAAAAAACAAAACCGATCTGAACCCAAATCCAACTGATCAATATGTACAACACATAGGCAATACTACAGATATTTAAATAGCTAGACTTTACTACTTTGAATCTTGTCAGTTTCAGTTGCCTCCCAGTCTTTATTGTTAAAAAATTATCAAACTAAAACAAAATTGACGGTAATGATAAATTGATTCATTGGATCTCTTCCTAATCAAAAGTCTCTTCTATGAGCTCGAAGTCGATTACACTTTGCTCCTAAAATCGAAGAGGATGCAAGGTTTCCAAAATTTCTGGTTTCAAAAAAGGCAATAACAAAACTTTACCTTCAACACGCACATCAAAATTGCATACATCAGGGCTCAAAAAATGTCCAGGCTATCATACAACATAGCTACTACATAAATGATGTTTGCCTAGCAGTGCCCGGTGTACTTTCTAATTGTTTCATTTGCAGACGGTACGATGCATAATATTCTACAGCCATTTATGGCACCTCTCTCATCGTCGCGGTTTCCAAAATTGAGTCGGATTTTCCAATACAGGAGTATCTTTTCCACTTCAATTTATTCTCCAAATGAGTCTTACCATCAAAACGGGAGTACACTTTTTTGGACCATTCTTCTTTGAAAACGGACAGCAAACGACAAACACAAAGCCATCATTTAAACCGTCTTAAAACAAGAGCAGCTCATCTAGAGCCTTGTTCAAAATTAAACTTTGATACTTTTCCTAATGCAATTCCCCGCTTCCCGATTCACAACAAGAAAAGGTACACCTAAAAATGTTTACGGTAACACTTGAAAACATTTCGTAGAAGATAATAATGAACTCAGAAAAAAACCTTGAAGGACACGGCGAAAAGAAAATTGAAACCAAACTAGCCATCAGGAAACCAAATATAAATTTAGGCAACACCTATTTCTGTGGTGCCTAGGAGCGATTAATCCAATTTTCAAAATGAACTATCTTGATTTTTCTTGGATCTAAAATTTCTGCTAGAATTTTCAATACTTTTCTGACTGAAACAGAATCAATGTTATACTCCAGACCTCTTGCAGTTATTATTGATATAACGGAATTGTAGAGTTACTCATCCCGATTGAATTTTTACCGTAGTTTACCTTGAGCAGCTTACCACTCTGAATATTTGACTATCGGCTACCACTCTGCTTGGAAAAATGGCCTTAACAGCAACAACTACTTAGCCACATCTGGTGAAGACTACGAAAGGAAAAATTAAACATCTTGTTGAAGCGAACAAACTGAAGCCTAGGACTACTGCTACAAAAAGGGGATGTAGTCTGGATTTTGACAGATCCGGCGCCGCGAGGAATATGGCCTTTGGGACAAGTCAGAGCAAATCACCTGGACGAGATGGGATGACAACCTTTGATCGCTCAATTAGTGCACTCGCATGCGTTTTCTCGCTGGACTCAAACGCGCCCTCAGCTTCAGCTCAAGTCGTGGCCGAGGAGAATGCTGCTTAGGCAACTTTACTGCACTTTATTACATCATTAGTGAAGTCACAATTGATTTTGATAGTCACTCTGATTCGTAACATGTCAATGTGAAGTTTCAATTCATCAGTCTTGAACCATGCTTGATCAGCGAAAACCCCCACAATATCACAAAGCCTTGGAAAACAACATTGGAAAAAAGAAACAATTATGAGCACAATATTTGTATGTAAGAAACTAAACTTTTTCTTTTTATAGAATATTTTTTTTTTGCAGGACAAATCATTGGTCGAGCTATCGAATATTTTTCGAATCGAGCTAAGAAGACTAATGCGACATTTTTTGGATCAAAACCCTCTCTTTGCATTCCTTAAAGCTAGGATTTGAGCCACTCTTAGACTATTTTTGAAAAAATGATGAGGTACGATTGATTTTTGCGTGAGGTGCTGACATGCTTTTGTTATTAACTTCTGCAGTAAGTTGTTCGCATTGCCATCTGGACATTAATTGCTCGGTCGAACCAGTACGAACGAAATTCGAGTCAATAACAAGCCTACGTCTTCTTTTAAATTGTAAAAATTGTTACGATATTTTCTATTTCGACGTTGGTTACGCGAAGTAAGCTGATATATCTATTTTATTGTTTTAGTGTATTTTAAAAATTTTAGTTCGATTTTTGGCAGTCAACAAGCTCTCTATTGTTTGTTAATTCGTTATAAGTCTTTATTTTCAGTCATCAGTTTTTGGTCTTTCCGTTTTCTAACAGTCTTGGTCATTCTCCAATCTCTGGTATGTTGGCATGCCATCCGACGAAAATCCAAGAGCCGGTGTTGACGACGGCTGCAACACGACTCCTGTTGCCACTCCACCTTGAGTCAAGACCGTTCCTCGGTTATTCTTACGACTCCCTGCGCACCACACACAGAAGCAGATAGTGAATATCGCACATCCCAACAAAAACAGGAGGATGCTGAAAAAACGGAAGCTTTTTTCATGATCTTTTAGATCTATTACCTATTCGATTGTTTTACATTTTCTGATTTTTCCCTCTCAAAAGTGTTGTTTTTAAAAACAAAATACTGCTTATTTGTACACTTTTGATTGGTGCAGGGTTTTGCCTAATTGCTGATTGGAAAACGCCCTTTGTTAGAACTTATTTTTGTTTTTTGCTTAGAATAAGTTTTTTCCCAAATGTTTTTCAGTATTTATAGAAGCATTAGATGTTAATTTCAAAAAAAACTGAAGCAAATTTGCTCGCCTGAAGATGATGGGGCCTCCGAATGTATAACTGAGCATGAGGAATATCTCCTCAAAGTAGGATCCAAATGGGCAGCAAATGTTGCCCAAGGGACAACAGTAGTCCCCACCCGCATTTTCATCTACAATTTTCAGTATTTCACTGGCGGTAGTTGGGCACTGGTCACTAGATTGACACGTGACCAGATGGCGGTCAGTGGAGAGCTTTTCAGCTTCTAAAATTTATCATAACAGATGATTGCAGATGTGGAGTTTTATCATAACTAGTACCGTTAACACCCAGGAGTATTCAATCATCCTGTGGGCTTGATATCTTTAAAATGAATTCAAAATATTTTTTTAAGTTTCTGCAAATTTGCAAATCTTGAGTCTTTGCCGCCGACAATTTTCAGTCACTAATTAAAGTATTCTCAAATCTGACAGTCAAATCATTCACAAATGCCTGTTGACTAGCAACTGTTATCTAAAAACTACCCATCAATATTTTATATTCAAATGATGAGAGCGCAAGTTATGGTGTACATGGGGTGGTTGAGCAAACAAAAAAATTTAAATAAATGCGGGCTTTAATCAAATTTGATGGAAAAACAAACACTCGGCGAAGACAAAAACTCAATCAAAATGTGAGCCGTGAATATAATTGAGGAAAAAATTTAAATTAGGTTTTTTGTAAAGTTTAGATCAAACAACACAATCTAAATAGCTAATTGAGTTTTTTTGGGAAAGTGCTCTTTTGGCTAAACTTTCAAGTAACATTCGGTACCTGAAGCTGCCCAAGTCATTTTCTGGACAGCATATAAATTTTCGTCACAGCAGAAGGGAAGTCCCATCACTCCACTGCAGCACTCACTCGCCCCCTCCCCACAATTCAGACAGAAGAAAGTGATGTCATCATCCATTGAATCGTCAGCCATGTATTCAGTATTCCCCTCTGCGTAAACTTGTGAGCTGAAAAATTATGGTACTTGTTTTTCGACCAATCTTTGGACTGTGATGGGCTTTTTGAACGTAAACGTGGATGCTATAATTCAACACTGAGGTGCAATGAGATTGACAATAACCAGTAGCGGATTTTGGGAGGTCGCGTGGGGACGGATGCTTTCCTTCCCGCCCAAGGGATTCGAACCCCTAGCGGCTCAAAGTGTCCCTCTTTGATACTATTTTAAGACTAAAAAAATAGGTCAAAATAGGGTTTCTATAGTGATTTGGGAGAAATCGGGAAATCGAAAAAAAAAATCGATCTAAAAAAGTCGACGCAGAATTTGACCTGTTTTTAAATTCCCCTCCCCTCGAAAAAAAACCTTGGATTCGTCCCTGGCAATCCTGACAACGAGTTAGCTTTCTACAATTAGAAAAAATGTCCGACTTTTCGTAAAATCTACCTCGCTTTCTTCAAAAACTTTTCGATAAAAATTGAACACAACTCAAACTTGTTGCCGAAAACAAAAATGTAACGAAAAGATTTGTCGGTTTTTTGTGAAAAATGACAAGACTGCTCGTATCAGGGCAAATCTTTTAGTCTTTCTAATGCCATTATTTTCTCTGAAATAAACTCAGGTTAACAATGTTCCTACAAATTTTGGCCCAAGTGGGCTACTTCACATAAACTGAACCAATTCAAAGGAGAGCGTTCTCTTGCTTAAACGCATTATTTATTATCCAATCAGAGCGCAGCAGGCTTTTTTCCTCTTAAAACCTCAATAATGGAAATGTTTCACTCTTTGATTCGGTTGGAAGTCAACATACTATAAAAATGTTTCGCTTTGAAGTATTATGTTTGCATGTTAACTACTGTCTTTAATTAGTTTTGTTTGGGGTCGTTTCAGGGATATGTCGTTTTAGCGAATAATAAAATATCTTTTTTTTCTGCTGGATCGCTCTTTGCTATACTTCTAACATTATTTAAAATTTTTCGGCAGAAGAAGTGTTGAAATTGATTTTTTGACATAGCAATGTTTTTACAAAAACCCTTTTAGTAGCATGTACAATGAGTAAAATTTTTAGTACTCAAAACTCAAAAAATTCTCAAAATTACCACATTTGTAAACGATAAAATTGTTTTAATCATTTCGATATCAAACTACTATTTTTGAACAACCCAAACGAAACAAAAGTGGTTGTCTGTGTTTAACCAAATTGTTTCAAACAAGTTCAATAAAGACGTTTTGGGTCAAACAGTGCTAGATTGCTTATGAATACAGCACAAACTAAACCACTTTTAAAGACTTCAGATAGCTTGTTGTCCTTACTTTCAAAGAAATTGAGGAATATACATTCTCGGATAGTTTTTGTACTCCGATCAATTTTACAAATATCTGATCTCTCAGGGTTCAGTCAGGTGTGCACACCCCTTTTCATGCAGAGATTCATTCAGGTGTGCACACCACTATAGTATCCTGCTACGAGCTTGACTAAACTGCTCTTTGTATAATTCAAACGCGCGGCGAATTATTCCGCTCTACAAAATTCTTCACACGACTCAAACTCTAATACTTAAAATTTAATATAGTCAGCCTATAACTCATAATTTTGCCCATACTTGAATTATCAAAAACTATTCAAGACTCTTTAAATGGCAATCGGAATATTCAAGCTTTTGCCCTGATACGAGCAATCTTGAACATAATCAAACAGAATCAAAATTAGAAGATCATACATTGAGGTATGACATGGCGCAGCCAGCAGGATACTCAAAAATCCACTCAATGTAAACCCGTTCTGGGAGAAGGCATCTGTTGAACCACCACTAGAGTGGTCCAAGTTGGCAGCAATAATCACAGGTTGAAATCACATGAGAAACTGAGGCACAAAAGAAGAATAGAGAAGTCAGAAACCAAGAGAAAAGAGTTATAGGAGAAACCACGTAATAATAGCTTGAGAGAAAGGAGTACTTTGTAATTCATTCAAATGGAACGAAGCCGACGCAAAAGTACGCAGTTACATATTCTTATGCTTAAGAGCAGATGGACAAAGACAAATACAACAAAAAAGACCCAATTTGGAATTACACACTGTCTCCACACAAGAACTAATGACAACCCTCGAGGATATTTTTTGTAACAACTAGAATAATAGCTTTCGACAGGTACAATTTCATCTGTCGAAAGCAAAAGAAAACAGAGTTTAGAACAATTTCTCTCAGACCTCGTGGAACTAGCATCACGAGCGGATTTCGGGGATCGCGAGGATGAATGGGTTCGAGACATGTTCACCGCACGCATGAACAATGACAAAATAGCTGAAGAATTGTTAGCAGAAACCAGGACCCGACAAGACACATACGTTGAGAAAACCAAATTGAACATAGTCGTACCTGATTGAACCAAATTGAACATAGTCGAACATGAAAACCAATCCTTTCGGAGGAAAGCAAATTACGCCAAAACAAGAACCGAATAACAACTTAAACACGCGGGGTCGCGCTAACTACTCTAACAATCAAAACGCACAAAGAGGACGAGGACCTTGAGGACGACCATTCACACGTGGGTCACAAAAAAACAGAGAGCAACAGAGAAATACCAATACAGGTAGTCAAAAACAGTGTTACAAATGCGGAAATTAATATAATCAAAACCAATTACAGTCCTACCCCGCCAAAGATAAAATTTGTGCCAAATCCGCCAAACGGGGCCATTTCGCTAAAGTTTGCCGTTCCACACAAGTAAACTATCTGGAAGATACAGATCAACAGGAAGAGCTAGAGACGGAAAGTCTCGAAACAGTAAACGATCCAGTGGCACTTGCCGAATTTTCTTCCAGCAACAGTTGGAAGGATTATCAAATAGATAACTTTTCGGTAATGCCAATCGCAGAATCATTCGAGATTAAAAACACAAGAACACTAGCTGAGCATGACTTAAGCGGACACATTGCCAAATTAAAGACGAATTCAGAACAATTGTTTGCTATTGCTGATTCGGGAAGCCCAATGTCTTTTCTCAACGAAAAAACCGCACCGCGTCTTTAACAAAATAACAAAGAAGCAACGTTTAAAACTATCCCAACAGGAGACACCGCACGAAACATAACGTGCTATAACGGTGAAACAATCGTTCCAAAGGGTAGATTTATTATTGCTATCGAGTCAGGGGGCTGGAAAGTGCAATCTGCTACATTCGACGTAGTCGATGATAAGAAAGCGAATATTATAGGAAGAAACTTGTTGTCACAAATCGGTATTAAACTAATCCAAGAACAACAAAAACAAAACGTACATGGCATACGAGAACAGAAAGAGTCTGATCCAACAATTATACAATGGGTCAAAGAAAATTTTGCACGCCTGTGCGTACGTATTAGAAAATCCAAGAATCATACAAGGAAAACACAGTATATTAAAGAATTCGTTCCGATACAACAAAAAGGTCGCCGCATTCCGATACATTTACAAGAACGTGTGGAGGGAGAACTACACAAAATGATTGATCAGAAACACATTATCAAATTGGATAAGTGTTCGGATAGAAAATTCATCAGTCCAATTGTCATCACTGTAAAAAAAGATCAAACAGTCAAACTTGCGTTGGATTCAAAGAAAATCAACAAATTTATTTATAAAAACAAGTATCAAATGCCCAATATTGATCTATTACTAGATAACAATGCACAAGTAGTAAAAGCAGGCAAAACAAAACGGACGTTGTTTTCAAAACTTGACCATCAGTATGCATACACTCAAATCCCGCTGGATCCAAAAACACGCAAACAGTGCAATTTCAGCTTAATCGGTGGCAACGCAACAGGAACATATCAATTTCTAACCGGATTTTACGGCCTCACGGACATGCCAGCCGAATTCCAAAAAGCCATTGATCTAACACTGACTAATTGCACAAACACACATGCATACTTAGATGATATACTGATAGTTATGAAAGGCTCTACCGAACTACATCAACAGAAGCTGAAAGCAGTGTTGGACAAATTAGATGACGAAAATCTTGCGATTTCTCTTGAGAAATGTAAGTTTGCTTGTAAAAAAAATGATTGGTTAGGATTCAACATTAATAGCGAAGGCACGACACCACTCATTAAGAAAACCGAAGCAATAGAAACACTAACAGCACCAAAGGCATTTAAACAACTAAAAAGCTTTATGGGGTCAATACACCACCTCACAAGTTATATAACAAAATTAGCACAAGCAGCCGCTGCACTCCGTTCTTTGCTAAAAAAACACAGAAAAGAAAAAACCACTCGAGTGGTCCACGGAACATAACACAACTTTCAAAAACATACTAAAACTAGTAGCTGCGATCACTCAAACTAAACATTTTGACCAGCACTTACAAAATCGCATAGTTTGTGAGGCATCTAACAAAGGGTTAGGGGCAGCGTTAAAACAAAATTCACCACAGGGTTGGATAGCTATAGCGTACGCATCACGTTTCTTGAACTCTCTCGAGGAAAAATATTCCGTAAACGAACTCGAATTATTAGGAGTAGTTTGGGCAATCGAACATTTCAAATATTATCTGTATGGAAAACATTTTACCGTCATTACATATCACCAAGCTTTAATTAGCGCCCTAAATGAAAGCGAAAGATCAAAAAGGAGTCAGAGTAGGTTAACACGGTGGATGGATAGTTTAATACCATTTCACTTTGATCTCAAACATCTTGCGGGAAATAAAATGGGATTGATAGATTATATGTCCCGGAATCCAGTTGGATTGGCAATACCCCCAGCCAGTATGATGAGGAATTTGTTGTAGCATCAATTAATGCATTCAAAAACTACCTCGAATTGATTGATAACGTCATTCTGAATAATCTAGCCAATCAAAACAAAGCACCGTATGAACTGATCAAAAAAAGGGTTCTTAGACGCAAAATTAAACACTCAATTAACAAACGAACATTCCAAACATTCCACTCACGGTCAATTGCGAACTGAAATTCGATTTCACTCTCACTCGAAAATCCCCAACAAACAGTCAGCTCTC